AAGTAGATAGAATATGGGGTTACATTGGGATAATGGAAAAGAAAATGGAAACTACTATTTGGGGTGTAGGGTTTTAGGGTTTGGGGTATATAGTCCCCCTTAAGTAGATAGAATATGGGGTATATGGGGATCCTATTATAATATACCCAAAGCCATATTCTATCTACTGAAGCGTGACTCTACCTTCATCTAGACGAGGGAGCAGGAAAGCAAGTCCATGAACAGCATAAGCCCCCTCTTTAGCATTGGGGGCGACATGCGATGCGGGTCCGGTCCAGCCTTCCTTCGGCACTTTGGGCAGCACCCAGTTCTCGACCCAACCTTATGAGGTCAGCTAAATCCCGACCCCTCCAAACTTATCTGTCACGACGGATGGATTTACGTCGTGGCGCGACATGACACATCATCTGCGACAAGAGGGTCAGTTCTGGACAAGGGGGACTGTACACGTCAGTGAGTCAGCAATAGAGCTTCGACAGGAGGAGCCACAAACCAATGCAAACGACTGCAGAAAATGGAATCTCATTTTCCTACGCACTTCTCTCCAGGAAACGGCCAAGGCGGACTAAGGCAGCAACTCATCTAACTCTATGCGAAGGGCTGTTGCCATCTCATCCTTGCTCTCCTGCAGTGTGGATTGGACTGTGGATTGGATCCACTTGAGATTTGCAGGGCAATTGGACGTTTCTCCGCGGTAGCAATAGTACGAACAATAAAAATGTCTGTTGTAGTTGCTCTAGTAGCAATATAGTAATACTAGTCCTACTAAGGTAAGAGTAAAAAAAGGTAATGACATGAGTTCGATGGTGGGACGCAGTGCGCATGAGGTGCCCATCAAGGAGAAGTTTGTGAACGGCTAAGGGGGCACGCTGCTGGAAGGCTCTGTGAGATTGGCCTTCAATCTTTGGCAGACTGTGTGTGATTTTGAGCTGACCCACAAGGCGAAATCCACTGTTGCAGCGGGAGCTGCGTAGGTATGTACCATATGCACATTAGCAAAAGGATTTAGGCAGTGGACAGCAGAACAACCTCTAATCCGTCGAGGCCGGAGGCTTGGGGCGTTTAGATCCAGGTCTGGAGACTAGGAGAGTAAGTTAACCTCCCCCTCCCAATGGGCACAGTGTTTGATCGGCTTGTTTTTGTTTCGGTTTCCTGGTCAGCTGGGTTCGGGACAGGCTGGGGCAGAACCCCCTAGGCTCGTGTTAGCGATGAAATTGGGGTGTTGAAGAATCAGGGTTGCTATCCAAAATATGCATAAAGAAGAAGCCGACAGCAGACACAATGACCAATCATTCTGGAGAAAAACACACGCATGCATGGCTTCATGTCAAGAGTACTGGGATAGATTTCGTGGCCGTATACAAGTGAAATCATACCGGCTTAATCCGAAGGAATATCCCAGAGTAGGCGCCTCATTTCGCGCAGGATGCGTGAAGACCTCGGATGACGTGGTCAGGCAGCCTACAAGATGCGCATTGGGTGACAGGGGCTCATGAGGGGGATATGGGTACCACTCTCCAGGTTCTGTGCTCCAGGCCCTTCGGCACGTGGAGGCAAAACGGAGCGCAGATTCCTAAACCAGCACAGGCGCTGTTATCAAAGCCTTGTCAAAAACCTTCTGGTGCAAGCTGGCTTTGGCCGGACTACAGTCTTCGGCCCAATCTGTTACAACGGCATGACAGCTCTGAAGCTCGAAGAACTGTATGGCTCAACTTTCTCCAAGTTGCTGTTGAGGCCTCAGACACAACAACCAAATACCACTACTTGCGACAGATTGGCTCAAACATCGTGCACGGACAGAATTTTCAAATATGGATGGACGCGCCAGGGTGGCGCAAGCAGGAACTCTGCAGTTTGCTGCCGCCCCTTTTTCCTCAAAGCCTGGGGGAGGAATGACCAGGCCATGTGAGCCCTAGTCCAAACTCCTGGCATCCCCCTTAAGAAGCCTACAATACTCCCCTACATAATCCCCCTATACAACCCTCCCTTTAAGGAGTTTAGACTATAGCTCATGTCTTCCAGCAGCCTTTCGTGCTCATTGGACAAGAAGCGGGGCCTGCAGAGCTCAGGGCATGCTTGCGGTGCTCCAACTCTTTACTGGATTGCGGTTAAGGAACTTAATTTAAGTTACTATATTGGGGAAACCCTATGCACAGCAACCCAGCTTAGGGATCTTTAGGGCTCAAATCCTCAGAAGTGTTACCCTACATGCGCCAGGAAAAGAGGAATGTGCGCATTACAAAGTCCAGCTTTAAGACCACTTCCCGTAGCTGGGCAACAAACAGCATGCAGCGTCAGTTCCACCAATTCTCGCCCGTCCTTGCTGTATTCGCTTGGATGCGTGATGCGGAAAACCACAGCTGCGATCAGACCTGGCGCATGTATTGACGTGAAAAATGTCTTTCGGTGGTTGAACCAAGTAAGATGATAATTTCTTATACAAAGTACCAAACCCGGGAGGATGATGTAATCTTACTCTCTAGTGGGTACCATAAAATCCCCACATGAAATACGGCTGACATGGACAGCCGCTTCCTGCAACCTGCAAAGCAGTCTACTTGCCGCCGCCCACCTCCCGAGTGCCCCGAGAAAAAAAAAATCTGCGTCCCTAAACCTTGAAACCCCGAACCCTAAACCCTAGACCCCAATCCAAAATCATGGACATTACAAGGCTCTGCATCAGATCTGTCCCCTATCATCCCCTACATAGCCCCTACATAACTCCTACATATCCCCTATGCGGGGTTTCCCAAAATCAGGGGTACCTTGGGGGTCCTGAAAATGAAGACTGTAGTATTTTTGGGTCTATATTGGGGTCCCCCTATTTTGGGAACTACCATATATGGGTGGTTGTCAAAAGTATGGTCCCTTTTTGGATCCCTATTATAATACGGCACCTAATATTTAGGGTACCCAAAAGGGACCATAATTTTGACAGCCACCCATATATCCCCTATATAAACCCCAGGGCTTCGTCGTGCCTCCTGTGCACTGGAAAGCTGTCAGCTTGAGGCACAAGGCCAGGAGCAATCGACGTGCCTGCCAAAGTATCAAACCATCAGAGCTATAAATTGGGTTACTGGGAGGGGGCAGTACCCAAGCTATAACGGGACTTTATGGGATGGATATATCGGATTATATAAGGGGATTAAAGGGGTTCTATTCTAGAAAATGGAAGTGGGAATATTATTGAAAGTGCTTCTATTGATAGTATGATTACCATGAGTATTGTCATCATAATATTTTTCGGCATGTTAATCTACTGGGGCTTAGTAAGCAATCACAGAGTATATGATATTCCCTTATTCCCTACTCAATCTTCGAAGACTCCCCGAATCCAGCCTGCATGCTCTGCTCTTGGAACAAGTTGAGCGTCACTACTCCGACCTGGCGAAGACACACTTCCAATCTAATGCACAGGACGGTAATCAGTTGCAACATGGCATTGTTCTAAGCCTAAACCCCAAACCCTAAACCCTGGTACCGTGCTTTTTGACCAATGTTGAGCCCCAGACCGAGATTGCAGGGTTCAGCATCCCGCCCGAAACGGAGCCCACCGCACAGCCACCAGTCATGATGCAAAAGCCCACCGCAAGGCCAAAGTAGAAGTTCTGGCAGACCAAGTCTTCGAGTGGATACAGGGTTCAAGGCCCTCTGAAGTCAAAAGCTTGCAGCTTCATGGTAGATTTGAACTGCACATGGTCCGTGCCTGCCGTGTCTTGGCAGTGGGCAACACGGTCACAGTCGAGCACGCAAGGACGACGTAGGCCAATCTGAGTTGCTCGGCTGCTCTTCAGCTTTTGTCATCTTGAAGATCATGAAGACACACCCCAGAACAGCGGCACGCGACGCATTGTCTACATGTCATGACAGAACGGTACTCCTTGCAGGCAAAGCAACACGAAAGTGAACACACCTTCGGCGATGCCGACCTGGGTACCACATGCGAGTCGCTTTGCCTGGTCCCAACTGCACTTCGCTTCCTAAGCCACCAGCTGTCGCCACCCCATACTCCTGCCTCAGCATCCCAGGCTTGTGACAGCAGCACTTCTGTTGCAACATGTTGCCAGAGCAGAGTAAGATGAACTTACACAACTGTTCATACTTCATACATGACTGCTGGACATATGGTGGCAAACGGAATGCAGTCAGATGCAATGATGGCGGTCATAGTGATGCACATCAATTGTCATGTGGGCTGATCTTTGACTTCTGCAGAAGGGTATGCGGCGAAGCTTAGTTTAGCACACGACCCCATATTTCCTGAGGTGCCGGCCAAGAGGGCATTGCTACAGGTTGCCAGGCAACCGGCGCTGCAATGCGATATTCCTTGGAAACTAGTGGAATATAGGGATTTGAGGATATAGGGGTTATATAGGGGACATATTGGGATAATGGAAAAGAAAACGGAGACTACTGTTGAGGGTTTAGGAGTTAGGGTATAGTCCCCCTCAAGTAGATAGAATATGGGGTATATGGGGATCTTGTTATAATATACCCAAAGCCATATTCTATCTACCTAAGGGGGAATATAGACCCCCTAAACCCTAAACCCTAAAAAGTAGTTGCCATTTTCTTTTCCATTAACCCAATATAACCCCCCAATTCTATCTAAGGGGGACCCTAAACCCCAAACCCTATTTAGCCCATATTCTATGTACTCAAGGGGGGACCATACCTAGGGCTTATCTGGGAAAGCCAGGCGCGCACCATCAAGCTGCATTGTGATGACGCCAGCAATAGTAGTTTCCATCTTAGGGTTTAGGGTTTAGGGCCATTATCCCAACGTTATGTACCCTATTATATTATAGTAGTTTCCATCTTATTTTCCATTATCCCTGTATAACCCCGATATAGCCCCAGTATAGCCCTGATATTACCCCAATATAACCCTAATCTACCCCAATATGAGCCAGGGCGCTGCAACTACGATCCCGGCTGCTATGGCACCCACAGCCTCGAGAGCTCAAGGAGAGGAGCTGTTGCGTATGTTTGGCTGAGCAACGGGTGCCTGAACTCCGCAGTAGGCCAAGCCATCGGCCATAGAGCATTTCCTTCCTGAGGCCCGGCAGCTGAAAGTCCATACAAAGCTACTTCCCAGACCCCCTAAAGGATCCAAAACATGGAACCACCCCACCATATGAACCCGTTACTACATTGGGGAAACTAGGGGATTATTAGGGGCTTCCATTTTTTGGATCCTTTAGGGGGTCTAGGTTGTACCTGGGGGGCACCTTTTGCCAAGACACGGCCACTCAAGACCACGGCCAGGGTTACCGCGGGATTGAAATAACCACCGGAAATCTTTCCTTGGCTCCAACGGGTGGTTGTCAAAATTATGGTCCCTTTTTGGGTCCCTATTCTAATACGGCACCTAATATTTAGGGTACCCAAAAAAAGGACCATAATTTTGACAACCACCCCAACGTCTTTGCCCCAGCAGCCTACCAACAACTGCAGCTTCAGCTCAAATCAAGACAAGATGCCAAGAGCGTAAATCATGCTAATCAAAGCAGCTGCTGATGACCAGGCTGTTGCCTGGATTGGCAGCAGGCACTGGCGGGTTCCCAGCAAGATTCACTTGGGAGTTTCCCAGAATAGGGGATCCCAATATAGGCCCCTTTTTTTCTTATTATTGGGACCCCCCAAATAGTACCCTAATTTTAAGAAACCCCCACATAAACAAACCCCTACATCAACAAGCAAGAAACAGCATGGCATGACATGGCAGTGGCGGAGATATAGCACGTGGGACCATCATGAAGGTGAAAACCACAGGAAGGAAATTCCCTATACCCTGCTTAATCTCTAAACATACCTACATCATTCCTAAATACCCCGACGTAATCCCTGAACAACCCTGCATCACCCCTACATAACCCTAAACCCTAAACCCCAATCCTATATAATCCCCATATAATCCCTAGATCTGCCTTGAATGTGAAAACCACAGGTGGGAAATCTGGCTTGCGAGCCTCAGACTCGCCGATCACATTGAGCCCAAAAGTCAGGACCTCAAAATTAGGGCACCGTTAAAGGGGATATAGGGGTGATATAAGTGTTACATAGGGTTACATAAGGGTTATAGTTATATATGGGTTATATAAAGATATATAGGGGTTATATAGGGATATATTGGTTTAGGGTTTCCCAACATTAGGGGGTACTTTAAAGGGAGCTATAGGGGTTATATAGGGGGGATGTAGGGTTCAGGGTTTAGAGCTTCCAAAAAGGGCTGCCATTTTTGGTAAGGACGATCATAAACATAATGATAATACTAAATTGGGTGGACATATAGAGGTACCCTAATTGTGGGAAGCTACCACCAAATCTTGCGAGGATATCGCTGAGCACCAGTCAGCATGGCAACAAGATATGACAGTCAGAGGCGCGGGCGACGGCAAACGTCCCCAACCTTGTGATTGGACATATGCTGATGCTACTCATGGAGTTTGTTGCTGGAGCATGGTCTGAATGCAGCCACAATCTAGCCACCTACCAACTGAATCGGAATCTTCCGACCAGCCGAGGTGCGATTCGCCAAGCAGTCGCGCTGACATCTGTGGCATGCAAATCTCCAAGTGCTCCTCATCATTGCAGCAGCAGTCCTCCGGCTGAAGGGCAGTAAGATGCTATGAGTTCTTTTACGAGTACGATCACCATCACCATGATTACTGTTACGATTGCCGTGGCTATTGCTGTCATTATTCCTATTACGAATTCTGTTACTACTGCTGTTGTCAATACGAGTAATTACAATTGCTTTTACTATAGTATGATTTAGTACTACTGCGAATTATATCTATTACTATTAAATTGCTGTTTGTATTGCTACTGCCATTTCTTCCTTCAAACTGATACTCTTACTTGCGACCCTTTTGCTCGTACTCTTACTATTGCATTTATTATTCCTACTAGTATGAATTACTCCAAACCCTAAACCCTAAACCCCTATCCCCTAAACCCCCCTATACCCTAAACTTCTATACCCCAGACACCTAAACCCTAAACCCAAAACCCCTAAACCCCAAACCCGAAACCCTAAACCCCAAACGCCTAAACCCTAAACCCTAAACCCCTATAACCGCAAATGCCTCTGAGCCCGCTCTGAGAATGGCAAAGAGGCGCAAGCCCACAAAGGCCCCGAGGAGCTCGGCCAGCACGTAGGCGATGCCATACCTCACGAGGCCTACCAGCTTAGTCGTAGTAGTAGTAGTAGTAGTAGTAGTAGCAGTAGTAGTCATTCTAGTAGTAATAACAATGTAGGTCGGCAATGACAAGAGCAATAGTAACAGTAATCATAATACCAATGAGAATACTAGGAATGATAGTAGTCGTAATCAACCCCGTAATAGCAATAGCAATAATAATCATCGAAATAATCATAATAGTAGTAGCAGTTAGTAGTTGTAATAGTTATGGCTGTAAGCTGTTTGAGAGCAGGCTGACTCGACCAAGATGCAGCAGGTATGCATCGTGGCTGATGAATGGAAGGCCCAGCGCGATGGCTGGATTCAATATCGCGCCACCTCAAAGCGAAGTGGGAGAAAAGTAATGGCAAGTAGTAATAGTAACAATGTTGATGGAGGAAATCTTGCACCACCTTAAGTCCCTAAAGTCCTAGGAATTACAGTAGTTTAGGGCCCCAAGGTGGTACAAGATTTCATCCATCAACAATAGTAACAGTAAGCATGGCAGCCTAAGTAGTAATAACAACAGTAATATGATGGTGGAGGGGTGCATCGGCCTGCTAGTGGCCGGAGAGCATAGCCTCCTGTCAACCAGGGCGGCCAGTTCAAGCAACAGGGCAGGACGCAGATTTCCGGATGCTCCAGGAAGCCAAATGGTTTTAAATAAACTTTAGTGGGAAGGCACTTGGAGGTTTTCCTGAATCACGAACCTTTTTTGGGGTCCTCATGATAAGGAACATAATATAGTAGGGTCTATTTGGGATCCCCATATTTCTTGAAACTACCATTTTGATCTGCCAAAAGCCGATCACTCCATGCTTGGTCATGGCATGGGAAACTCGCTGTGCTTTGGCGAGCCCATAGTTTGAACAGCACCTCGCCTTTTGCATCTCCAAGGTTGGAACTATGGGCTCCTGGTATGAGCCCTTGATCCTGCGGTTCTGCTATACCAATTGTAAGCCCTATAAAAACCTACAAACCCAATTCAGGGCCCATAGTATGGAGCCAGGAAACTGTTAGGGGCTCATGTACGTGGCCCATGGTGAGGAACTTCCAGCGCTTCTCCGCGTGACTTGAGGCAGGGAGTCGTTCTCGGAGGCCATAGTCAGCCAAAGTTATCCAGAAATCAATAGGTTTGTGCTTCCCGCACATCCCGGACCTGGAAGTCACGTTCATGCTGGATGTCAAGAAGCTCAGGCACCGCCAAATGCTGTACTTTGCAGAACTTCCAAATGAGCAAATGGCTCAAAATAACGAAAAGACCAGCAAACTCTTCCAGCCAGAACTCGAACTTTTTGATCAACAACGCTACCCCCGAGGCAGAGTCTTTCAAGACGAATGGACCATAGACCTTGGGAATCAGCAGCTCCACGACTTTGTCCGTGGCAGTCTGATTCCCCATGTGGTACTGTTCCTGAAAAGCTTCTGCGGTTTTCTGCCACTCATCCACGCAGCAAAGACCAAGTTCGTTTGCATATGAGTATACACTGCCACACAAGAAAAAGCTGATTGTAGACAGCACGCCACAGACGACACAGGCTGTACGCAAAATGCGCTCTTGCTTTTCCAGCCTCTCCCAGAGTATCCATATAGTGCAGCTCTCCAGAGCATTGTAGCCGGCAACATACCTTACTTGGAGGGTCAGGGTGACTTAGTAAGTAGGTTAATAACCCGTAAATAGTCTCTGTATAACCCCTACCTAATCCATCCATCATCCCTCTACGACATAGTCCCTTGAACCCCTATATTTTCACATACTATGCTTACAAACCCTAAGTAATCCCTGTAAAATGTAGTCCCTTACTCCCTACTAACCACCCTAAACCCTAAACCCTGAGCCCAAGATACAGGGTGGCTCCAAAGGAGTGCACGCTGCAAGCCAGCTTTATGGCTGTACTCTGCCTCGCGACCCTGGGCACTACCGGGATGGTTGCAACGATCAGCATTCCTTAGGAGGGGAGGGCAGTAGTAGGGAAAAAGAATTTAGGGTTTAGGGTTGAAAAGGTTTATGGAGGTTAGTAGGGAATAAGGGAATGTATATAGAGTATATGGAGATTACATGGAGAATAGATGGGGATTGTATAGGGATTATATAGGAATTAGATTTCTTAGGAGGGGGTTAGTAGGGAATAAGGGAATAGATAGAGTAAAGGGGGTTAGATGAGGATGATACAGGAAGTACATAGAAAATATATTCTCGGGGATTCTACAGAGATTATATGGGGATTATATAAAGATTGTATAGGATATATGTGATTATATTCCTCTATGGCCTACCAAACCACCAGTAAGATTCCGCAGGGTGGAAGCACGGCCCGAGCAGCTGTAAGTAGCCGTCTGGTTGGGCTCCCACCGGTGTAGACATTTTTGAGCTCCCAGGGATAGCGCGAGAGCAGGAGGCTGATGGAGCCGATCAGCGTGAAGCTGAAGAACAGCTTTGCCGCGGGATAGTCGGGCTTCGATACCATCTCACTAACGGTTTCAGCATGGTAGCTACGCCCAGAAGGGCATATGTTGTGCGGAAAGCATGCATACTTCATCTCGAAGCCGCTGATTGAATTATAATTTCCTGCCAATGTTGCCAGAGCGATGGATGTCAAGCCACAAACAGAACCAAGACATAGCATTGCTGCCGCCCATCTGCGATTCAAAATGTCAATGCGATTCCCTGCCAGGCTCTGGCTACTCTCGACAGAGAAGGACCGCATTGAGGACGCTACTTCGAAGGCATGCATGGACTAATCTTGCCTGGGCCAAAACATTCCCCTGCACAGAGACTTGCTTTGCAGATCACACGCCAGGTAGATCCCTGAAGACTTTGAGGGATGGAGAGGGACAGTAGATGGGGGGCAGGCTTATGCAGGCTTCTCAGACCAAGATTCATGTGGTGAAGGTGCTGAAGCTGGTTTCTTCAGAGGACCGCCTGGAGAACTGGTTGCCCTACCACTCTAAAACCCTCGTCCTGCAATGTAGCTGTAGGAATCCCTATATAATCCCTAAAGAATCCATTTAGAAGCCCTACAAAACCCTACTCCTCTAAAAAACCCTGGTCCTGCAACGTAGAGGAGGCCAATGGCAAGTCCAAAGGACTGGCTCTGGTCACGCTTCGGGTTGTTCCGCTTCGAGACGAGGCAGCAGCTAACCAAAAAGCAGAGTAGGGCGGTATAGACCAACTCTGCCAAAACAGCTGCACCCAAGCTTGGGGGAAGGGGCGCTTGGGGCAATTTCACATGTGCCATGTCCAGGCCAAGGAGGGCTCGCAGGGCTATGGCTCCTGCCATACCCGCCGCCACCTGCACTAGCCAGAATCCAAGCATTCTTTGCCAGGGGATCAGGCCCAAAACGCTCAGCGTCAGAGATACTGCAGGGTTCAGGTGACCTCCAGATACAGTGGCCGTGGAGTAGACCATGACGGTGACAATACATGCAGCGGCAGTTGGCTTGTACACGGATGGGGCCGGGGACACCGCAACGCATCCGAATGTGAATACTAAAATGCATGTGCCCACAAACTCGGCCATGTAGGGAGCAAATGAATATTCAGATCTATCTTTTGAGTCGCTTGCATCACCATCCATGGTGCCATAGCTGGCTGTCGCTGTTTCCGGTCCTTCGACCAGCTGCTGCGCGGGGCCGGTGAAGCCAGGGTCCATTTTGCAGCTGGGGCCATGCGCAACTCACTACTGCTCCATCCTGCGATATTTGCCCAAGCGCTATTTGGAGCTACTTCAACTCTCTTTCGACTACAATGCGTCTGCCGGTGGGGCTTTGAGTTGTGATCTGGAAAGGTTGTTTGATGCGAACGGTTCGGTATCTGACGAGCCTGCGGGAGCCAGGAAAAGAATACCCTCCCCCAGGAAGCGCCATACTATATTATACTATAACTATACTCATACTATCTTATACTATATTATACGATAAGTATATACTATATTATACTATGACATACTATACTATACCATAAGAAATTGTACGACGTCTCAATCTAGCCATGGATTCATGGCAATCATGGCAGATAAAATACGGGAAGATAATCTAAAGCAACAAGCACCGAGGTGTCAACGACAGCCGAAGAAGCTGGAGAGACGCAGGCCACCATAACTGTCCTGCAACCACCATCGGGCGTCAAAAACTTGGGCCCCAAAGGTCCTCAACCTACAACCTTTAGCCTGGAACTCGTCAACCTTGAACGCTATGAAGCACCACAGAATGACCGTGTTCATGTAATTGTCCGCATTCTCTTGCATTTGATTTTCCACTATTTTCCTAAACCCCAAGTATCTGTTGATATCTGTGGCATCCAGCTAGCTTTCAGGCCATTGCTTCACACAGAGTCAAAATGTCCTGCAGTTTCCCGTCAATGAGTCCGACAGCAGGTGTGTCAGCTTGCTGTTCCTGGACACTTCCGGACCACATCTTGAGGGTTATATAGGGATAATGGAAGAGAAAATGGAAACTACTGGGATTATATAGAGTTCAGGGTTTAGGGTTGCTTCAGGTTGAATTGTTAGGTTGGTGCCCCTAACATAGACCTCGCATAATCACCCTACTCTTATGCTAGCATTATGTGAGCCTTGCATGGGGGATCCACCTGGTAACTAGGGGTGCTCACCTGAAACTGTTCTGACATGAACCTAGGGAAAATGAGCTCTGCTCCACTGAAATAAGTACAGGAATGGCGGCACATGTCAGCCTGTCCTGCAGGGAATGTGACCTCCAGCTGAAAGACTGAAAACAATCAGAGCAAAGTCGTGCAAACATGTCTGCAATGCTGCATCTTGGCTCAACAGGCAGACCTATCCCGAGCTCCACGCCTGCTTGATCCTGGCTTCACCACAATGCGTGACAGCATACAAAGGCAACTCAAGGGCCACGTGCCTGCGAGGAAAGACGTTTAATGACCAGGCCGAGCGTCAGGAGGCCTCACGCGGGAAAGCAAACAGGTTGGAGGCAAAAGCACAACAAGGTCATGTCCGAGTCATCTAAAGTCCTTTGCAAATTAGCCACGCTACTCACGTATCCAATCGGATGCTGATTGCTGCCCTGGTCCACACAGCGCCCACATTGTAATATCACTTCCGTAGCAGGCACACACAGCAGCTCTGAGATTCGCGGCTTGTGTTGATCTGACGGCTTTCACGCTGTCGCACCTGAAGTGTGAATTAGCCCATTTGGATCCCTTTGGGACATTCAAAAACAAAAGTCTCCACGTCAGCAAGACACGCTTTGAAGACATCCTCACACTGCTGCAACCGTCCTGAGATATGCAGCTGACTATGCCAGCCCTGGGTCAGGTGAGGCTATGTGCAAGTTGCTTCAGGTGAGCACTTCATATTGACAACCATGCAAAAACTACGAGACCGCTAAACTGCTAAGGCTTCTGGGTTTAGGGTTCAGGGTGTAGGGCTTAGGTTTTAGGGTTCAAGGTTTAGGGCTAGAGTCTAGGGATGGAACCACCGCAGTAGGTTTACTAGGCGATGCACGTAAGGCGCCAGACCACTTTCATGGCAACATTCAAGATGCCTACTCGTGAAACCGAATTTCGGAAGCAGCTTGGGCGAAGGATGAACAACACAGACTACAGTAGATGTGCAAAGTGAAACAGAATCGCCAACGGCACCGCATGATGATAAGCGCAAGATACCCAAGCTACCAGCTGAAAGACCACAAGGCGTACTTGGCACGCGTGTGGTGTGCATTGACAAGCCAAAGCATGCTTCAGAAGAAGCCAGTTGTTGCCTCAGCCGTGGGTTTACAAAGCAGGGCCCCAATGATTGAAGTAATAATAATAGTAACAATAATAATGCTAATGATATTAATGGAAATTAGATCAGTACTAGCAGTAATAGCATTAGTATAATAATAACAATGATAATAATTGTACTAGTAAGGACAGAAGTAGTAGAAGTAGCAATAATAGCACTCCAAAATAGTAGCAAGAGTAACAACGTAAGACTGCAAAATAGCACAATGCGTCCCCCAAAAAAAGCCAACTGAGCGAACAGCTGATCGGCTGAGAGTTCGAAGTTGTAGTTGGTATGTCCCTCTTGTGGTCCTAGGCAGCACTTGACATTTCATGCAAGCGCAAATGGCAATGTTGCACGCAGGCTTCGTACTCACTAAAAGCTAAGCTCCATAATGTAGCGGGGAACCGCCGAGACCGGCATCTAGATCCAAGGGCCACAACTGACGGAAGTTCACCATTTGGTAGTTTCCCTAATAGGGGGACCCCAATATAGATCCCCATATAGGACCCCAAAAAGACCCACAAATTTTGAGAAACCCTAAAACCTACATCCTCCTGTATATGCCCCTTTATAACCTCTATATTTCCATTCATTTTGCCAGTATCCCAATATAACCCCAATATAACCATGAGTAGTTCGCCATTTTGGAGGCTTGGCCAACGGGTTCGGGCTCGACTGCCAGTCTATTGGCAGCATCCCCCACGTCCCGGGCCCCTCCCCGCTCCATTGAAGTTATATATTAGAGATAAAATGGATACTACTATATTCTATAGGGGTTATATAGTGTATAATATATGCCCCCTTCCAAAGATCGAAACTTCGAGCTCACACGGCTTTATGTTGAGGCATGCTGTCTTGGTGCCCCTCGCCGCCGAAGAAGAACTATGTGCTCCTTAAGTAGATAGAATATGGGGTATATGGGGATCTTATTCATTTTAATATACCTAAAGCCATGTTTTATCTACTTAAGGGGGACTATATGTGCCCCTGCCCTTTTACTGCAAGATTGGACTGGAACAAATGCCTGTAGCCACCAAGAACCGTGCTTGTCTATCGCTTCGCTGTCGAAGGTTTTGTATGTGCCCGGACCAGGCATTTCCTTGCTTGTATCAAGATGCACAAGTGCACAATCATGTTATGTTTGGGCAGGTGACTGTGAGCTCCCAAAGCAAGGCAGCCGACCCTCTTGGTTCTTACGTCAATCCACTTCTCCTTTACAACCTGGCGACAGATGGCGACAGCTTTGGATCCTACACCCTCTAAGGTTGAAAGCATGGTTTCAGGATGCAGGGTTTAGGTTTTAGGGTTTGGATACCTAGTATGGGCCCGTCCCCCCAAAAGGCCTAAGGGCCCACATTAAGGGCCCATACTTCTAAGCTTAGATACCCTAACAGTTTAAGGTTTAACGTCTAGGGTACTGAGGGCCAACGGTGGTGACTATTCAAAGATCTGCTGGTGCCGTCAGATACCAGGCATGAGCATCTGGATCGCCACCACTGCTGCAAGTCAGTCTTTCAGACATGCCAGGCAAGACGCTGCGAGACTGACAAAAGGCCTACATGTCTCAAGCTGACCCACGAGTTTGGCTGCACGGTCTCTATTAGTCTTACTGTTATTCTCATTGTTGCTACTACTCTTGTTCTTGTTATTACTGTTCTGACGACGACGACGACGACGACGACGACGATTATTATT